ACAGAGAGACCCTGTCTCAAAAAAACAAAAACAACAACTTTTCCTGTTCAGGACCATAAGTCAGAATGGAGCCAGCCAGCACCTAATGGGTACCTAAATTTAGGACTCCCAACGTGGGCCTCTCTCTGTGTTATAACTGGAGGCAATTAAAGGATCTCCGTGTTCTGATACTAGAGAAATTGAGAAGTTTTCTCTTCCGTTTTCAGGGCACCCCCAGTATTCTCAAGAACTAAGTTCAACTTCTTTCCCAGAGCTACTGCTAAGTTCATTTTTAACAGCAGGTTTTGAACTAAGAGGATGGGGTAAGGATAAATGAGGAAGACAGGACAGGAGAGATGGTTCGAAGAGTGCTTGCTGAGGAATTCTGGTCCTGGTATTCTGTAACTCCGACTCCAGCCAGACGGCGGCCCTCTTCTGGCTTCTCTGAGGACCACCACATATGTGGCATACACAAATAATAAAAATAAATCCTACAAAAAGAAAGGAAGAAACCCCTTTGCAAAAAATGCTCTGTCGGTTTTTTCTTATTTTTTTTTTCACTAGAATACAAAGTTTAAAATTGAAAACATTTTATGATGGGAATGATGGCGCTTGAGAGACTGAGACAGGAAGATTGCTGCAAGTTCAAAGCCAGTCTGGGCTAGGAGTGAGTTCCAGAAGATTGCTGCAAGTTCAAAGCCAGCCTGGGCTAGGAGTGAGTTCCAGAGATTGCTGCAAGTTCAAAGCCAGTCTGGGCTAGGAGTGAGTTCCAGTCCAAATCCTCTTTAAAAAGGAAAAAACAAAAACCACTAGACAAGAACAACTTTGTGTGTGTGTTTGTGTATGTTCAGGTGTATGTTGCATATGTAGAGGCCAGAAGTTCCAGAAACCAACAGCTTCCAAGTCTGTCTGTCCCTCAGAAGCTATGCACGGTTTTTCCTTTCCAGTTTTCAGTGTATGTGCTGCCAATACTAATACCACCTTTTTTGTTTGTTTGCTTGCTTGCTTTTTTTTTTTTTAATTTGTAAAGGTGCCTGCCAAGGCTGGCAGAGGGCATCTGGTTTCCTGGCGATGGAGTTACAGGCAGTAGTGAGCACCCAATATGGGTGCTGAGAACTGAACTTGAGTCCTATGCAAGAACTGTCTGTATGTGCTCTTAGCAACTGAGCCATCTCTCCAGTTTAGCCGTACAGTATTTCTTGTGTTGACTTATTCATTCAGTAATACTGTCACATAGTGTTACCCATATTGTAAAGCTAGTGTCAGAATTCCCCTCCTTCAGAATGCCACAGGGCATCATGGTGACTAGACACTGCATTTTATTCAGATGGATAACATTGATGTGGCCCCAGTCTTTTGGCTACCGCTTTGGACATGCAGCCTCTTTGGAACCTTCCTTTGGGTCCTTCTGGCCGTTTCCCTGGAAGCGGGATTTCGGAACTATAAATCCTGTTTTAGCATTTTAGAGAAACAGTCATGTTGTTTTCCATGGCAACTGCAACATGGTTTCACACCTTGCTTTTTTTCACTCTGGGACTCATCTTGAAAATAAATTTCAATTACCCTTTTCAAAGGGAACGTTTTCTAAATGTTCTGTGCAGAAAAGCATACAAGTAATAGATGAACATCTTGATGAATTTCACAAACTTGAATACACCTGATATGAAAAAAAAACAACAAGGTGTGGTGGTCCTGGGGACTGTGGATAGTTGTATAACTGTTTCCTCAGAATGGAAACATTCTATGCAGGACAAAGATGCATAGGAACCAGGAAGTAAACTGAAAGAGGGCTCAGTTAAGAGTCCTTGCTGCTCTTCCAGACGACCTGAGTTCAGTTCCCAGCACCCATGTCCAGTGATTTATACCTGTAATTCAGATCCAGGAGAACTGGCACAGCACCCTGTCCTGGCCTCTGTAGCTTACACTCAGACACATATACATAAAATAAAAATATAGCCGGGTGGTGGTGGCGCACGCCTTTAATCCCAGCACTCGGGAGGCAGAGGCAGGCAGATCTCTGTGAGTTCGAGGCCAGCCTGGTCTACAAGAGCTAGTTCCAGGACAGGAACCAAAAAGCTACAGAGAAACCCTGTCTCAATAAACTTAAAATAAAATAAAATAAAAATATATACACATATTTTTGTATATGTATGTTTATGTTCAAATGTATGTATTGAGACAGGGTCTGTCTTTATTGCCCTGGCTATCCTGAAACTCACTCTGTAGACCAGGCTGGTCTAGAACTCACAGAGATCCGCCTGCCTCTGCCTCGCAAGTGCTGGGATTAAAGGCATGCGCCACCACCGCCTGACTTGCATTTTTTTTTTTTTTGCACATCATGTTAAGGACCATAATACACAGTGAGGGGTTGGGGTGTGGTTCAGTGGTAGAGCCCCTGCCTAGAATCCCCCAGTGAGGGGCTGGGGTGTGGCTCAGTGGTAGAGACCCTGTCTAGAATCCCTCAGTGAAGGGTTGGGGTTGGCTCAGTGGTAGAGCCCCTGCCTAGAATCCCCCAATGAGGGGCTGGGGCCTAGCTCAGCCTGATGGAAACCCTGCCTAGGCTCCCCCAGTGAGGGACTGAGGATATGGCTAGGACACAGTTGCCTATTAGTATGCAGGAGTTCCTAGATTCTCTATCAAAACACACACACTTCACATTTTAGGCCTATCACAAAAATAAGATCTGAGACCCAGGGCATTTCCTCGTCTTCGGGAAGAGGTGGGCCGGTAGAGTCTACAAGGATGATGGTAGTCACGGTTCTAACTTGACTAGAATTCATCTCTGCACGGCAAGCGGAGGATGGGGTGTCCCTGAGCTCAGTGATCTGATGAAAAACTGAGACTGGTTGGAATTCATACCCTCATCCTATGAGCCTCAAAGTAAGACTTCCTTTGTGCCAAGCACTGTTTCAGGCCCGAGGCCCTGCCATAGCAAAAGAGAACAAATCCTAGCCCCCAGGGCTGGGCTGATGCTAATGAGTGCAGTCAGGAGCAGCACACAAGCAGAACACGGTGGCAGTTCTTACATGGTGCAAACAACAGCTAGAACAAGAGAGAGGTACTAGTAAATCCCCTCTGGTGAACACCATTCTGCCCCTGCTCCTGGCATTACCCCTCCCGTGGGTCTCCCTGCCAGAAGCTTGGGCTGAGCCAAGCGCACTCCCAGACGCCATCTGCTCTCCCTGAGTGTGGGGCCCGTGCCAGCTTGAGCGTCTGCACTCCTGGCACAGTGCCCTGGCACCCTAGAGCTAGGGAACTCCACCGCGGCCCTACATCAAGCCAGGGAATCCTCCCGTCTGGCAGATGGAGGGCTGCCGGAAAAGGAGGCAGTGCAAGCTGGGTGGGCTCCCTGAAGGACGAGGTGGCTTGGAGGGCCAGGAGGGTTCTTTGTCAACTAAAAGGACACGAATTATGAATAATAACTTCGATAAGCACATTCCACATGTTCAGCTGTTCACTGTGCTTCCTTTGCCAGGCTTTGGGTAAATGTGTGGGTGTTTGTTGTCACCTCTAAGTTGAATCCATATGTTGAACTGTTGGAATGATTAAGTGAGAAAGAGAGCTTGCCGCTAAGTCTGATTATCTGAGTTCGAGTCCAGAAACCCACCGGGTGGAAGAAAAGAACTAACTCCTACAAGTTGTCCTCTGACTTGCTGGAGAAGCACCACACTAAATAAATAAGTAAATAAACGTAATGAAAAAAAAATAAAAAAATTAAAGATATGGGGTTTGGAGAGATGACTCAGAGGTTAAGAACACTGACTGCTCTTCCAGAGGTCCTGAGTTCAATTCCAAGCATTCACATGGTGGCTCACAACCATCTGTAATGCGATCTGGTGCCCTCTTCTGTCCTGTAGGCATTCATCATTCATAGAGGTAGACCACTGTATACATAATAAATAAAATCTTTAAAGATTTTTTAAAAATAAACATATGTGTGTCATCATCACGTCTAGAAAGCTGGGTATATGTCCTGAGTTTTCAGATGAAGACATAAAGATTCAGAGAGGTGAAGCTCTGGTCCAAAGTTTACACATCAAGTGCCTTGAAATACCTGCCTGTGTGTGGGTGTGGAGAGTCCGACCCTGAACCACGGAGCACGCCTGCATTACTATAGGACCTGGACCACTCCTCGGCCTCTGTCCTCTAGAAGCGTCACTCAACCTTCCTTCTTTGGCTTCTTTCCTTCCCTTGGGGTCAGCAAGGGATTCTGCCTTGGGTTACAGTCTGCTGCTGCAGGTCCCAGGGGCTTACCTCGGCACCGGAGCCAGTGTCTTAGCCTCAGTTTCCGGACCTGCCCAGCAGGGGTGAAAACGGAGCTGCTGAGGGAAAGCGCCCAGCACAGGGCCTCGTGAACTGTGTGCTCTTCTGTGTGCTCTTGGACTAGTTACTTCAATTCTCTGTGCTCTTTGCTGTCGTGAAAAGACGACCATGCACAGTGCTTCTTAGAACTGTTCCGTGGTTGTGAATGTAAGCACCTAGAACAAGTCACAAAGCTGTAGCTAATGTTACTGTTATTATTTTTGGTTATTACTGGACCACCTTTTCTGGAGAGGTGGGATCCAGCCAGGAAAGACCTAGATAATGGGGGGGGGGGTGCTCCATCTTCTAGCCAGCAGATTTGAGCCTGGGCTCAGGGAGAAGAAGCTGCTATCTCTGGGATTCACCCCCCACCCCCGCAGAGTCGGAGTCTGCCTTCAAGGCCCCCTCCCGAGGAGCAGCGGAGGGGCGGAGTCTGGAGCTGTAGCTACGCCTCTCTCCTCCCCTGTGCGCTGCGGGGCTGGGACGCAGAGACCAGACCGCAGCGCAGCTGCCAGACCCCGCGCCAGGTACCCCTGAGCCCGATCGCAGGGTTCAGGTTTGCCCATCTCTGGGCGGCAGGGCAAGGTGGGCGTCCTATGAAACTGGCTGTGGGCGGTGAGGAGAGGAGATGAGAACATTGCTCCTCCCCCGGGGTCCTGGCGTTGCGGCGGGGTGGAGGGGGCGAGAAATGGATGGGGGTGAATCTTTGGCGAGGATCTGGACTAGGAGGTCTGGAACGATCTGGGGCAGGGGATAGTAGAACGAGAAAGATCTTTCTGGTTGAGTGTGAACAGTACATATGCTGAGTTTGAGGGTGGCGGCGTTAATGAACCAGGAGGGCTAAGGTGACAGGTCAATGGGGAGATGTGTGGCGCCGTGGAAAAGGGGCAAGGCAAGGTACAGGTTGAGTTGAATAGGTGTGCAATGGAAGCGATAAGAGCTGAGAAGCGTGGGGGTGGGGGTGGGAGGTCTCTATGTTGGAGGTGTTTGCGTTTTCAAATGCTGCAAGGGTGAGGATTGATGGTGCAAGGAGGCTCCGGGGTACATAAGAATATTGCCGGCCTCAGACACGTTCCCGAGGGGAGCCGCTGTCATTCCCAGCAAGTGTTCAAGGAGACCTTTGGCAGATGACAGGGTGTGGGTGTGGCGGGCTTACCTTGAGAGGGCCCTGGGAACTTAGTGTGAGGACTGGACTATGTGTGTGTGCACTAGGGTGGAGTTCCTAGGTCACTGGGGGGTAGGAGATGGATGAGCATATTATAGGAGGAAGGGTGTGGGCCTGAGTGGGTGGTAAGGGCATGTGAGCCTGGGGATGGAGTCTGTGTGTATGTGTGTGTGGAGAGGGCTCAAGGAACAAACAACTGTGTAAGACATGGTTTACAGTGAGTATGCAACAGGTATATAATTGAGAGAATCCCAGAATTGATCGCCTGGGACCGTGAATTATCTGTGAGTTAAACAAACCTGTTTTGTTCTCCAGTCTGTTTACTACCTGTAAAATGACTCTGGGGGACTTTGAGCTCACTCTGAAGCCAACAGTCAGAGGGTGATGGATAAAGGCAAGATTTTTTGAAATTTGAATTTGTTTTCCTCTGTCTTCAGGAACCCCCTACAACAGCGCCCCTGCCCAGCCATGGACAACCCCAGCATACAGGAACTCCAGCAACCCTTGCTGCCAAGCACAGCCTGGGACCTCCTGTCCCCCAAGACTGACAAAGTAGAGCTGGGACCCCCTTTCCCAGAAACAGTCTTTGTGGAGTCACTGAGAGGCCGGCAGTTCCTTCTCTCACCTCTTTCTTCCGTGAGCGCTGGCCTGGGGGAGCTGGAGACCCCTGACCTTGAGGTAGGGGTGTAGGGCAGCTTGCTGGTGTTATCTGTCTAGGTCTGGAGTCTCACTTGACTATGCAGGGCCTGACTGGGAGTCTTGGAATTTTTGTTTGTGTTGAGACAGGGTTTCTTTGTGAAGCCAGGACTAGTAGACCAGGCTGGCCTTGAACTCAGAGACCACCACCTGGCTCTAGAGTGCAGTTTTGTTTTTCTCCAGACCCCTCACCTTGTCCCTTGATCTTTGTTTGCTGTCTTCCTTCTGTGTTCTCTCATTCCAGAACCCACAAATGCTTGGCTTCTGCTGACCCAGTTTTTCAAGTGAAGGTCTTTAATTTTTTATTTGTGCGCTCGCGTATGTATGGAAGGAGGCCAGGGCGCACATGCAGTCGACCTGGAGTCAGATCATTAGGGTTGATGGTCAGTACTTCGCCTTTGCCTGCTGACCCATCCCACTGCTGACCTTCCCCATGCTTTCAAAGTTTTTTTAAAAAATGTCAGACTATCATTTTGTTTTTAAGCTTTTATTTTTATGTGTATATGCCTGTGCGTTATATTCATGCAGTGCCTGTGGAGGCCAGAAGAGGGAGCTGGATCCGCTGGAACTGGAATTACAGATGGTAGGGAGACATCATGTGGGTGCTGGGAATTGAACCTGGGTCCTTCATCAGTGCTCTTAACCGAGCTATCTCTCTAGCCCCCACTATTGTGTGTGTGCTTGTATTTTCGCTATTCAGATCCCCTGGAGTTGGAGGTACAGGGCACTGGAATCCTCCCCACAAGGAAGCTGAGAACCTGACTCAGGGCATATACAAGGGCAGTAATCACTGTGCCATCTCTCTAGTCCCCACCCCCCTTTTCTAAGACAGGGTCCGGCTTTAAATTCACCCTTCCACCTCAACCTCCAAGAATGCTGTCATATTCCTTGCACATATTGTGAAACATGTCTTGTATTTTTATTTTCCAATTTAATTTTCTTTGAGACAAAGTTTGTTCTTCATGCTGGCCTTGAACGCCTCAGTTCACATTCGCCTTTTGACCTCAGCTTCCTAACTGGAAATGCAGGCCTGCGCCATCCATCTGGTTTCTCTCTTTTGTAAGACCGTCTCACTGCATAGCCCAGACTAGCTTCAAATTTACCAGGTACCCGAAGATGACCTTGAACTTCTGCTCCTCCTGCCTCCACCTCCCCACTTGCTGGGATTAGAGGCAGGAGCCACCACCCCTGGCTTTCCCATTTTACTCGAGGAAGGCTCTGGTTAAATGCCCAAGTTGACTTTGAATTCACTCTATAGTCCAGGCAAGGTTTGGAATTTCAACCCTCGGGACTCAGATCTGATTTACTTACTTTGTCCTAGGAAATCTTGTAGAGTTACTATGTGACATTCTGTTAAGGAAGAGGGAGTTGCAGACCTGGCCAGATTCAAGGGAGGAAGAACCTACGGCACAGCTGCTGGGGGTGGGGAAGGAACATCAGTCATCTCAGAAGAGCTTTTGGTGTATATCTTTAATTCCAGTACTCAAAGCAGTCAGATCTCTGAGTTCAAGGCCAGCCTGGTCTACAGAATGAGTTCCAGGATAGCCAGAGCTACATAAAAGAGACCTTGTCTTAAGAAAAAAAAAAAAGGCACTTGGAGCCAGGTTAAGTGCCTGCCTATAATCTGGGCACTCAGGAGGCTGAAGCTCATGGCTTTACAGAACAGCCTGGGGCAACACAGGAAGACAAGACAAGCAGGTGGGGTGGAAAACATCCTGCCACAGTTTTACCATCTCTGACCCTAGCAGTGAAGACTTGAAGAACTACATTGTACCTCTAAGGTCCTGCTCACCATTTGTGTGTCTGTTATATTTGACTGTGTGCTGGTCATTTTGTTTGAAGAAAGTATTTTTAGGATCAATTATTTGGAGGCCTAGAATGAAGGTGCCATCTTCCAGAGAGGATTTGTTTTGTTCCTGCTGAGCTACCTGGAGACAAACAGTGAAAGATTTTGGTGTCCTCCCTCCCCTCACAGGTGTCATGTACTGCAGGCAGGCCTCCTGAGCCACCTGCCTCTACCTCCCAAATGCCGGGATTACAGGCATACCCAGCTTTAGGATCATTTTTGGCTGGCAGGTTTGTCTTAGCAACTCAGGACACTAGAGCGTTCACCTCCCATCTCTCACGCAGGTTCTTCTACCCAAAGCAAAGTCTGCCCCCACTTCACAACTTCCCATTTAGGGATTACAAGCAATCTTCCCATAGTTAGACCCTTGAGAATGAACTCAGCATCCAGGAGGGTAGATCTCTCTAGAAGCCCGCAGTATCAATAGCTCCCCCACCCCTCCTGGGATCCAGTAGACTGAGAAGTTTAAAGCCCACCTTGTTGAATGTTTTTGTCTCCGGAAAGGCCGCAGAGAAGCATTGGTCCTCAGGGGTGATGGGGCAGAGAAGGCAGGTGGGGATATCCCCACCCAGACTCTCTCCTGTCCATAGGACACATCATCCAGCGACAGTGACTCAGATTATGATGGAGGTGGCCGCCTCTCACCTCTTCTGCCCCATGACCACCTTGGCCTGGCAGTCTTCTCTGTCCTGTGTTGTTTTTGGCCTGTGGGCATTGCTGCCTTCTGTCTGGCCCACAAGGTTAGTCTGTGTTTGGGACTGGGAGGGTGCTGGGTTAAATAAAAAAAGGGGAGGGGAACAAGGAGGAGCCACACTGTTTGGTGGTGTGTGGGGGGGACCATGGGGGGAGGTGGCTGGAGAGAAGCCTTCACAAAGAAACACAAAGGCGTAACCTGATATGGTGGTGACAGTAATCCCAGGTAGTCTTGGGAGACAGAGGAGGAGGTTCAAGGCCAACCTAGCTACAAACTGAGATCTTGTCTCAAAAGAATGAAGAGCAAAGGAACAGAGCTGAGGCTATAGCTCAGTTGGCAGACTGCTTGCCTAGCATGCATGAAGCCCTAGGTTCGATGGCCAACAAATCGAGATGGAGACAGAAAGATCTAAATTCATATTTATCTTTGGCTACAAAGGAAGCCCCAGGCAAGCCTGGGCTACCTAAGTCTCTGTCACAACAAAACAAAGGAAGGAAGGAAGCGTGTGTGTGTGTGTGTGTGGGGGGGGGAGCCAAGATGCCGCCAGGAACCTAGAGTGGTGGCTTTGACAACCGTCCCTGTCAGACCTGGGAAGCCAGCGAAAGCTGCAGGTCTCCCTCACTAGTCAATGGAAATAACCCCCATCTCAGGGCCGTTGTACAGATTAACTGAGTGAAAACACAGGCATAAATTAGTGGTATGTGGCAACACTTGTTTTTTTGGGTTTTCTTTTTTCCAAGACAGGGTTTCTTTGTGTAACCCTGTTCTCAAACTCAGAGATCCACTTGCCTCTGTCTCCCAAGTGCAAGGATTAAAGGAGTGGTCACCACCACACAGGGAAATGCTCTTTTATTGGTTGCTCAGTTGGTGCCCCAATTGTAGTTTTAGACTAGATAAATGAATTAGTTAGACTGGGATTGTGGAGAGCCACAGGAAGCAGGGTGGAGTGTCAAGGGACACTTTGGTTACCACTGCCCACTGCCTCTACAGACCAAACAAGGCTTGGGCCAAGGGGGACATCCAAGGGGCAGGGGCCACTTCCCGCCGAGCCTTCCTGCTGGGGGTCCTTGCTGTAGGGCTGGGCCTGTGCACATATGCTGCTGCTCTGGTGACCTTGGCTGCCTACCTTGCCTCCCGAGACCCGCCCTAGCTGCCCTTCAGCCCCCACTGTGAATGCAGAGGCCAGAGGCCCCCCAGTGAACCCATGAGAGGAACGGATGATCCTGATGCAAATGGTGGTGACAGCGAGGACCACAGCATCCAGAAATGAGAGTCTGCTACTTTCCTGGCCACCCCTACCCAGAAGGAAGCAACGTGAGAGATTAAAGAGTCCCTGAAGCCAAACCCAAGTGTGTCTGTGTGTTTGGATGTGTCCAGGGTGGACTGGTGTGGGTGCCCAAGAGTAGGAAGGACTGACCAGCAAGGTCAGCCTCAGGCTGTGGCTGACAGCAGACCTCAGAGCTTGGGGTGTGATACTGCAGTATTTTCTTCTCCACAGCAGTGAGCAGAATTAGAGCCAGGCTTCCAGGTCTCACTTAACCCTTCCCTCGGGCCGAGCAAGGTCCAAAGAACCCCAGGTGTGTGTGGTGGCCTGCTGCTTCCCTCTGAGCTCTTCCCACAGCAGATGGAGAAATTATCCAGTTGTCCAAAATCAACAGGAAAGTGTGGTGGTAGAGCCAGACCTCGGAGCCATGCTTAGTATACTGGTAACTCAGGAGGCTGAGGCAGGAGGATCACAAGTTCAAGTTGACCTAGAGATGAGCTTAGCAGCAGAACTATGCCTAGTACATACGAGGTCCCAGGAGATGAGCCAGCCATGGCAGCTTAGTGAGACTGACAACACACAAAAGAAGCTGGCACTCCCAGCACCCGGGAGAGGCAGGTGGGTCTAATAAGTTTCCAGGCCAGCCAGGGCTGCATAGTGAAACCCAGCTGCACGTGGTTGTGGTGGTGAAGAAGACCAGAGGCATGGCTCATCAGTCAATGCTTGTTCAGAATTTACAACTCCCTTAGTTCAAACCCCAGAATCAGCTAGGGATGATGATGCATGCCTTTACTCCCAGCCCCGGGGGGGGGGGGGGGCAGAGGCAGGAGGATCTCTGTGAGTTCAATGCCAACCTGGTCTACAAATGAATTCTAGGACAGTCAAGAGCTACATAGTGAGACTGTCTCAAAAAACCAAGTAAGCCTGGTAGATGTCTTTGATCCCAGCACTTGAAAGGCAGAGGCAGGTGGATCTCTTTGAGTTTGAGGCCAGCCTGGTCTACAGAGTGAGTTCCAGGACAGTCAGGGCTATTACAGAGAGAAACACAGTCTCTAAAAAAACAAAAACAAAAAAAAAAGTTTTAGAGTTACCAAAACATGAAAAAAATTGTACCCGGGTTTCAATGATGTGAACATAGCTCCCTCTGCAGACACAACTTCTCTGGGGGGGGGGGGGGGGTGGGAATCCTGACTGACAGCTCAAATCATCTAGAGACCAAATACCTTCCTTACAAAATGGCCTTCCAAACCCACTTCAACCAAGTCTCTGCAGAATGGGCCTCCAACTCAGAGCCACTTGCCTCTGCCTCCAGATTGCTGGGACCAAAGGTGTGCACCAGCGCTGCCTGGCTATGTAAGGGGTGGGTCCCTGAGGAAACAAAGAGCTGGTGGTACTGAGTAGGTGAGCAGCTTTCTCAGCACTTGGCCAACACAGGGAGTATTTGCAAAATGAGGCCTGAGAACATCAAGTAATGAAGAGGCGGGGTTTGGCTGTTAAACGCCACACCACAATGAAAAAAAACAAAAAACAAAAAACAAAACCCCTTTTCCACTCACCAAGCTAAAGATACCTGTGCATTTCTTTCCCGGTTCTCAGGAGTGAAGACACCGGTCCAGCGGGTGGTGGTGGAGAGAATGGAGTGTGAGGATCTAGATCTAGCATGTGAAGTATAAGGCAGAATGGGCGCAGGACATGGAAACAAGCGTCTGGGGCCTGCTGATTTGGCTCCATGTTGACAGGTTGTGGGAGTTAATCTTTACAGAAGTTCTTAAATGCTTGGTTCCAGTCCTCTCAATACCAAGAGAATGGGAACACCAGCTGGATGAACTCCAATGACTTGGTGCTCCCAGAATGCTGGAGTTACCCTGAACAGCCTGGTCTCTGGGACAGGAATCTCATGGTCCTTTGGTCTTCTGCAGGTTAGCTGGTGACCTCTGGGCTCTTCTGTTTATGTCATCTTCAAGTGAGGACTCTATCACCCCCATTTCATGGGGTGAAAATGGACCTCTAGTGTACTGCTGGTGGCCCTCAAAGTCCCATGTGGATGTGTTCCTCCCTGCCTGTATCTCTGGAGCGCTCTCCCATGCTACTCCAGAGCTCACTGCCACACTTTCCTCCATCACGGATAACTTCAGCTGTACCACCCCTGCCTGTATCCTGATACGGAATTTACTTCCCCTCAAAACTGATCCCTCCTTTAGAGTGTGTGTCCAAGTGCCCAAAGAAGCCAGAAAAGGATGTCTGAGCCCCAAGAGCTGGAGTCATAGTTGTGAGTTGTCTGTTTTGAGTGCTGGAAACTGGAAGAGCAACAGGTGCTTCTAACTGCTGAGTCCTCTCCAGATCGCCTTCTTAGGTAGCCCAGGCTGGCCTCACTATGCCAGGTAGGACTGTTGGCATGTACCACCATGCCTATATCTTACCCTGAACATGCGGTCTGGGTCTCTCGTTCAGTGCCAGCTTCTCAACACCAGCAGGCCTGATGAATGGATGCTCACCAGCCATCAGAATCGGTGGCTATGACTCATTCAACACAGGTGAGCTCCTTTTAATGGTGTTCTGGCACAGGAGCCCCTGCTGTTACAGGACTGGAGGTCACATGGGCACAGTATGAGGTAAAGTGAGGAGCTGGCATGTGACGGCTGGAGGCGGTGGGCGTGGTGACTGGAGGTGCACCCTGCCCTGGCTTGTCTCAGCTTTTCGAGTAGCGCCTCTGCAGCGATTCCCGGTAGAAGCGGAAGATGTGCTGTGAGGCAGCCTGGGCAGCAGCCAGGCACTGCTGGAGCTGGGAAGGAAGAAGCCAGTTAGCACCCAGGGTTACTCCCTAATGAGCCTCTAAACCTAGTGCCCTCCCCTCCATTACTCCTCACCACAACAGCCATTTCCTGTCTCACCGCCTAACTCCCACCCCGTAATGGCGCTGGTGCATACCCGAAATGAGACATACATACATAATGGCCCTGAAAAATCCTCCTGCCTCAATCTCTAGAGTACAGTATATGGTGCTGGGGGGGGAACCCAGGTCTCATGCACGTTAGACAAACCTCTATCAATAAAGTCACATCCTCAGTCCCTCTCCTTTAAGCTTGTTTCCCTCTTTTTTCTTTTTTTGAGACAGAATTTCTTCATGTAGCCTTAGAGGTCCAGGAACTCACTGTGTTGACTAGGCTGGCCTCGAACTCACAGAGATCCACCTGCCTTTGCCTTCTGGGATAAAAGGCGTGCGCCACCACTGCCCAGCTACTTCCCTCTTTTAGTATGTAATTTACAACACCTGTGCACTTGCATACAGGCATACCCTATGGAAATAAGAGGATAATTTGGGGACTTGATTCTTTCCCTTTACCATGTTGGTCCTGGGGTCTAAAGTCAGGCAGGTAGTCGGGCCTAGCAGCAAGTCTTTAATTTCAGAACCATCTTCCCAGCCCTTAAGTTTTTTTTTTTTAAATATTTATTTATTCATTATGTATACAATATTCTGTCTGTGTGTATGTCTGCAGGCCAGAAGAGGGCACCAGACCTCATTACAGATGGTTGTGAGCCACCATGTGGTTGCTGGGAATTGAACTCAGGACCTTTGGAAGAGCAGGCAATGCTCTTAACCACTGAGCCATCTCTCCAGCCCCCAGCCCTTAAGTTTTATCTTAATGAAAAGAGCATAAGGGCATTGGGGACCAGACTCTGAAAGCCACCTGAGATCAGAGTCCTAACACCTTGGAGGAACTTGGAGAGCTGGAGACCCCGAGAATTAGAGCCATAACCCTTTAACCCTCAAATCCTTTTCATTGATGTTTGCCTGAGACAGGGTCTCAATACATAGCTCAGACTGGCCTGGAACTCACTATATAGCCCAGGCTGGCCTAGACCTGTGTAGCTCAGGATAATCTCAAACTTAGTGATTCTCCTGCCTTAGCCTGCAGAGTGCCGAGAGTAAAGGTGAGAGCCACTAGACCTACCTAGCACCTCCTCTCCCTTTCTGAAACAAGTGTTTACTATATAGTCCAGGCCGGTCTGGAGTTCACAGCAGCAAGCCACCATGTCCAATCCAAATAACCTTAAGAGCCATGAAATTAGAGATTTAAATCATTACCACCACATAGGCTTAGAGCCACAGGGCCAGAGAAGAAATACAGGTGCAGCCTAGTTTCCAAACCCTGTTCCTTGGAAACCCAGAATTCTAGGTGGCACTGTTCTGTGCTGACGACTGGGGACCTTAAGATAGAAAACTGGGGGTTGGCTCAGTGGTTAAGAGCATTTCCTGCTTTTCCAAAGGTCTTGAGTTCAATTCCCAGCAACTACATGCTGACTCACGACCATCTCTAATGGGATCTGGTGCCCTCTTCTGGTATGCAAGCAAAACACTGTATATATAATAAATCTTTAATAAAAAAAATAGACACACCCCCTCATTCAAGGTGAATCCTGTTTTCTGATCTCATTATTCAGGCATTCCTTTAAAACTGCTACATAGAAACACCGTTTTGGTTTTTTTGTTTGATAAGGCAGGATCTCACAATGTTGCCCGGGCTGGCTTGGAATTCTCCATATAGACTAGGCTGGCTCTGAACTCATCTATGCTTGCCTTTCTTTCCCAAGTGCTGAGATTAAACTCGTGACTCAGGACCTTGGGCATGCCAGGCAAGCACTTTAAGAACTAAGTCCCAAACATGCATCCATCCACCCAACAGCGATGCAGAGAAGGGCTTGCTGTGAGCTGGGATAAGATGTTACGTCAACAGGAGAAAAAATTGTGGATACCTCGGCATCAGAATAGAGCCCCTTGGTGGTGGACATCAGCAGTTTCTGCTCCACGCTGTCCAGAGCAAAGGTCAGGATGGCCCGGGCCTCCTAGAAGCGTAAAGTAGAAGGTAATAAGTGTCTTAGGGCCCTCCTCTTTAAGATCTCAGCCAGTCTCAAACAGGGAGAACTGAACCCTCAGCCTCTAGGTCAATTGAAGTTGTATGTTAGATTCCACTCTTGGGTAATTGTTTCTCTTCTTTGTCTTTATTCTGACCACTGTTCTCCTGTCCCATAGGGGGAGCCACAGTGCTGGTCATTTCCTGAGTGCCTCTCCACTGCCCACTCTCCCTTCCTTGCTCTGCACTACACAGGCAAGCCAGAGAGATCCAGTCCTCATGGCTCCCTTCCCTTGTTTCCCCAGTTATCTGAGGGGGGCCCAGGAAGCCCCGAGAGAAGTATCGAGGTCCCCACTCTGACAGCAGTAGTTGCAGTAAAAGTGACAGTCACGAGGAGGGTTCTGAACTTCCACATCCAAGACAGAACCCCTGGATTTTCCTGTGTGTACACCTGCAACCAACTGTGATGATGTCGTGGCAGGGCCAGGCTGGGACCCAGGCTTCACTGCTGTCACCACCCCTGCCTAAAGCCTTCCTAGAAAGTGCTGAGAAGAACATGCTTCCTTAACTGTCATCACCATGACCAGCACAGGGCACAAGAACCACGGATCTGTTCTACAGTTCAGAAGTGAATGCTAGCAAGTTTCTTTTCTGGCTAGTGCAAGTGAGAGTTGGGTGTCTAGCACTTAAAGCTGAATGAACCTTGATGAATGGGACAGAAGTTGCCAGATGGACTAGGGTGCACGAGCCAACTGACTCACACAGAAGTAAGGCCTGCAGGCAAGCAGACCTACCTGGCTACAGCTCTTTGCCAACATTACCTTTCCACACCTACCTTTTCTTGCTTGGTCGTGGGGTCCAGCACGAGATTGCCATCAGAGTCCAGGGCACAGCTGACCCCGCAGAAGAGAGCCCGCATGGGCACACCTGCATCCACCAGTGCCATGCAGGCAGCATTCAAGCAGCAGGCCAAGAGCTGAGCATCACAGGGAGGTTAAGAAGAGTGTCTTCTGTGGGACTGGCCAGCAGAACACATCCACACTTCCCTTTACCTGCTAATGCCTGTGGCAGACACTGCTAGCTGATCACAGAGCAGCAGCATGGTATGATGGCTAAGTGGTTCTGGCACCAAGTACCTGCCAGTGCTCCATACTGGGCATAAGCACCTCCCTCCCTGTGTTAAATGAGATGATGCTAGGGAACAGATACATACACTAAAGGATGTACCAAGGATCTTAGAGATGGGTGGGGGCGGCCCTTATCTTTAATCCCAGAATTTGGGAGGCAGAGGCAGGCGATCTCTGAGTTTGAGGCCAGCGTGGTCTATAAAGCGAGTTCCAAGACTGCACACAGCGAAACTCTGTCTCAAAAAAAAAAAAAAAAAAAAAAAAAAACCCAAACCAAAAAACCAAATAAACAAAAAAAAACATATACACACAAAAACAGAGACAGGAAATCTCCCAGTCTCTTACGGAAGACACTGGCAAAGCCAGGTCCACTACCTGGGACTCTGGTGGGCAGTATGGAGCCAATGACCATCTTGCCAGCTTGGTGCTTCCCCAGTAGAGCCAGAAACTCATGCCAATGTGCAGAGAAGAAGTCACTGGCTCAGGCTCTGGGCTTGGACACGCCTGAGCTTGAGCCTCACCATTGTAGCCTTCTGGCTGCCACTGTCCTGTTCCCTTGGGCAAGACACAGTCCCTCTCTGAGCTCTAGTTTCTTTACCCCAAACTCGGCAACATAAGGAACAAACATACTGGAGCCCTTAGGCTCTCGAACTGGAAAGCCCGAGACCAGGCCTTCAGAGCTACAGGGGAATTACAATGCTCCCCAGGACAAGTCCTGTGGGAACGAGACGACAGCGCTGACAAGTGCTTGAGTGTCCCGCATACGAGTCCTGCCGGCTCATTTCTAAAAACCGCATCTGTTTGTTTGTGTGCCCGTGGCCAGGTGTGTGCTGTGTGCTCACATGGTTAGAGGACAACCTGCAGAAACTGGTCCTCTCCTTTCAACACGTGCGGCCGTCAGGCTCGGCAGCAAGCACCTTTACCCAATGAACCATCCTGTTGGCCCTGGCGTTGTTTTAAGTTCTCTGAGCTGCCTCCTGGCATGGGTTCTGCGTGGCTGAGGGAACATTACAGGGTCACCAGGAGGGAAGCCAAGGGAGGCTCCGAGCACGTCCTAGAGTGTCCGGGAAAGGATACGGAGCCGGTGTCGCTCACCACCTGCAGCACCACTGTGATGGAAGTGCGGGGGTGCAGGCCTCCCAGAACCACTGCTTCACAAGTGTTCCTGATCAGCCGCTCCCGGCTTTTCTCAGCCACACCTGGGGAGGGAGACAGGAAGTTATCAGACTCTTACCTCATCATCTTGTTCTGCTCAATCCAGCCCGAGGGAGACCCCAGGAAGGGGCTGTCAGTCAGCCTAGGATGGCATGCATACTCCCAGGCGAAAGAAGGCAGGGCCCACAACTTCCCAAGGGTCTACCAGCCAGCCACCCAAGGATGAATACCCAGGAGCGCTCATGTCCTATGTTACTGGCCGTATTGACCCCATCAGAGTGGGCCCATCCCACTGTACATAGGGAGTTTCAGTAAAAGGGCAGAAAAACAAGTTAATGGTAAGGAGAAATGAAGGCAGAGAAGGGAAGAAAGAAATGGAGACAAAGAAGCAGCTCAAGAGAAGGCGAGTCTGGTGGTGCTGGTCTGCAGTCTCAGGACTGGAAATGCTCAGGAGAGGGGATCACAAATTTGAGGGCAGTCTAGGCTACAGAGAGCTCAGTACCAGCCTAGGCAACTTGAGACCCATCTTAAAAAGTATAAGGCTGGTGGTGTGGCCCAGCCACATAACCTGAGGTTCACCAGGGAAAGTACTGTGGCTCAGTACTAGAATGCCTGCCTGGAGCCCACCAGTGAGGACCTGGGAGGCCTGAGCCCAGAAGAGGGCGTGACCAGAACGCACCAGTGAGAGCCCAGGCTCCCTGGCGAGCATCTGTCTAGCAGGTGTGAGGCTCTGGATTCCATTCCCAAAGCAGCAAAAACTAAAACAAAACAAAGAGCTGGGCAGAGGGAGGTGAGCAGGGCAGTGGAGACTGGATGTAGCAAGCAGCAGGGAGGAGTTGGGCGAGGTCCTAATAGATCTTTGGAGGTTTAGCTGAGTCCAGTTACCAGGCAGCCCAATCTTCGGCCTCAGGATCACTTCGAGTGTAGCCTTGTTGAAGATTTCTTTGCTGACCTTCACCTCGGCTGGCCCGTACACTCCAGCCAGGACAGAGGTGTCACCTGGGGAGACATCAGCGGAGGCCTCTGCCACACCATGCCACCCTCACCAATTCTCTTCTCTGCTTTCTCATCTTCAAGTGGGAGCCACTATCGTCCCTCCCTCGTGACATTTTTGTGAAGAGCACATGGCAATGGCTCACAGAAGCAGGAAGCCCTGAGTCTCTCAGCATCACACAAGAAGATGAAATGAAAACCAGTTTTTAAAGACACAGTGCACCTGAAACATATAGGAACATAGTGAACATAGAGTTCACCACAGACTTCAGGTACTAGTAAGTTCTCACAAGGAGTTGGGGCTGGAGAGATAGCTCAGCGGGCCAGCACACACACCACTCTTAGAGAGGACTGCAATTTCCAGCTCACAACACCCATACCAGGCTGCTCACAATCGCCATGTAACCCAGCTCCAAGGGGTTGACATCCTCTGCTGGCCTGCACGACCACTCTCGCACCACAGGTGTGGCTTTCATTCACACAACCATTTGGGAGGCGGGAGACAAAGGCGGGGAGGGTCAGGAATTCAAGGTCATCCTTGGCTCCAAACTAAGTTTGAGGCCCTGAGCTACATGAGACTTATAAACCAACCAAAAAGAAATTCATTATTACATATAGTTAATATATACTAATAAAAATATTTTAAAAGAGCCGGGCGGTGGTGGCGCACGCCTTTAATCCCAGCACTCGGGAGGCAGAGGCAGGTGGATCTCTGTGAGTTCGAGACCAGCCTGGTCTACAAGAGCTAGTGCCAGGACAGGCTCCAAAGCCACAGAGAAACCCTGTCTCAAAAAAACCAAAAAAAAAAAAAAAAAAAAAAAAAAAAAAAAAAAAATATTTTAAAAGGCCTAACAAAAAACAAAGGGGTCTATAATTGTGATGGATAGGGATCTTAATTTCTGCTCATCTTCCCAGAATGAACATGAATGGGTCTGGAGAAGGAAAAGTCTGGCTTCTAAGCCTGACTGCCTATTCCTGGCCCTTGTGTGACTGATAAAACCTCTCTGGGTCATCTACAAAGTGAATACACTGCACCCAAACAGTGGTTTCCACATGTTTCTGACCATAATGTCCAATAACTAATACACTTTCCAGCTCACCTCCAAACTGAAAATTTATGTGTGTAAGTTTTCCCTCAACGGACTATGTATTGGGATATGTAAACCAAACAAACCCTTTCCTCCCAAGTAGCTTTTGGTCATGGCCCTTATCTCAGCCATAGAATCCTATGGACACATACAAAGTAATGGGTTTTGTTTTGTCATTATTAAATATACCCACCGTTTTGCATTGTTTGCCATTGTGTTCTCCCTAAGGGATGAGGGGGGCAGTTCTGCAGTTTCTCTAAACTCACCATAGACTTTGAGGTAAGAAGGGTCTGGAACATACTTTTTGACAGTCTGCAAGGTGTCTCACTTGCTCTAGAGCCCCATGGGAACACAGGAGGGGTGCCTCTGTGTATGGGGTGTGCGCACACTTCTGTGTAGGGGCTTTCAGAGGTCAGAAGAGGGCTTCTGATCTCCTAGATCTAGAGCTGAGTTACAGTGGTTGAGAGCCACCTGACATAGATGATGGGAACTAACTCTGGCCCTCTGCAAGAGCAATAGGTGTTAACCACCAAGCCATTTCTCCAGCTTCCAGTTCTCGCCTTTTCTAGCCTCCTACCGGTCTTCAATTCTTGCCCCATCTACCTGACTCTCTCACAGGCAAACTCCTGAAGAGCTGTCTCCACTCCATTTCTCTTTTCTCCCTTTCTCGGATCCCAACACTATACTGCACTGGGAGCAATGGCCTCTGACTTGATTAGCTCTAAAATGGTCAGCCCTCACACCTCAAACACAGCTCACCATCAGTACTGATACCAACTCACTGCCCTCTCCAATCTGTCTACTTTGATAGTTCTTCACACTCCCAAGACCTCTCAAAGGTGGCTGATCCGCACTGGAGATAGGGTTGTGTGGGCGTCAGCCATGAGACCTGTCTTCTCTCTACATTCATACACACTGATGGGATGTGTATACCAAGCAAGGGGACGTTTACTCAAATGATGGGATGGGAGAAGGGGAGATACTTGTCAGTCTAGGATGAGAATATGACGTTCAATCTGAAGAGCATTTACTTGGATAAATCATCTGCCACGGTAATTACACTTAAAGCAGTGGTGGTGACAAGTCTCTCTCAAAGGATATGTGTGCAAATGCACACCTGAGCCTCAGCTGGTGATGTATGAATCCAGAAGCGTGTGTGGGGAAATCTAGCCAAAGGGAATATTTGCCTTGGTGAACTTACACCTACTCTGGGAAATTTATTCTTACTGGGGTGGTCTTGCCCCTGATTCCTTCCCAGACAGATTATTTACCAAGCTGGACGTATCATATCTTTTCGAGTCGGAGGAGGTGTGTATCTCCAACCTCTAGAAGTAGTTTTTTTCAAAGAGATGGGCGCACTCGGTTGCACACTACACGGTAAACGCTCTTCAAAAACCCCACTTGGGTGAGTGAGGATGGCGCGCGCAGTTAACCCTGGCTAGGTTCTTACCTTGCAGAAAAGAAGCAGATCCATCCGGTCGGGACAGCAGGTTCTGTTCACAAGCAAAATGCCGGAGGCTGCAGACTGGACTTCGAGGGCTGGACTCTATTCTGGTGTCAGTACTTACCCGGGCGTCTGCACACTTTGCTACCTCCATAGCCGCCAACCATGCGCGTGGCCCTACCGTAGCTTCCGCCCGGCTGCGCGCGCGCTCGTACCGGCCGCGCAACTACTGTAACTACTGCGCATGCGCCAGCCTGGGGCACGCCCGAATGGGCCCCCGCACGTGGCTTAACGTTTACTAACAATCTGGTTCCGCCCAGCTCCACCTCCTAATTTTGGCAAAGCCATTGGACAATAAAAAAATGGAGGCGGGTGTTGGAATGGGCCCATCTTGCCCAAGGCCCCCGGGTCCTAAACCCATTAGCCTCTGGTCAGGTTGTCCTTTTTCTGCCTGATACTGGAGCAACTATAAGTAGAAAACTGGAGCAATTTCACATAACAAGAATTTCCATATGAACTTACGTATTCAGGGTGGTTGGAATTAGATAGCTTGTTGACATAGTTGTGCTGCCATTTGAATAAGGCAGCTGATGGGTCAGCCCATCTCGCTCCCGTGAGAAAGGAGGCGTGGTTATTAGCCAAGATGGCGGTAGCGATGTGTATGGCCAAGATCTGGAGGCCGAGCGGTGGCCTGGGTCAGGCTGCTCTCCTGCTGCTGCGGCGGCCTGGGGCTCGGGGCTTGGCTAGATTCGTGAGTACCTGGGCCCCATGGGGCCTTTCTTGAGGAGGAATAGGAACGTAAAGGTTATTTTTACAGTGCATGCCGGTCACCGCGGGCTGTCAAGGAAGGGCCAACTCAGAAAGAAAAGGAGCAGGAGATTCCTTGGAGAGAAATTCAAGGGAATATCCCCTTAAGAGGAAAAGGAAGGCAGCTCCTTGTGGGCATGCACGGAGGGAGCAAGTCGGGGAGTGAGATGGGACAGGATCAGGTCCAACCTTTCTTTATTCCTTTACTTAAATTTCGATTGCAAAGCGAGTTGAGCAAGAAACTGGTTTGACTCCTCTGTTCCGTGATCAAAAGTCAAGGCCGGGGATATTTCCATGACTGTTGTTTACAGGAGATTAGTATGTGTTTGTTGACTTTACGAAGGAAGACAAAGAGCTACAAGTCCAGACAGGAGCCTTTGTCCACGTTATTTTTAGAGACAGCATCTCACTGAGTACTCCAAAATGACCTTTAACTCACTCAGATGCCCAGACTGGCATCGAACTGGAAACAGTCCGGTCTCAGTCTCCCAAGTACTGGGATCACAGCTGTGAGCCACCAAGTTCAGCTGCCCACTTTCCTTGAAAACTCTTGAGAATACTCAAGAGTCATCTTTTGATCCATTGTTACTGAGGGCAAGATAACACTTCCGAAAATGATGTTGAAGCCTGGCAAGGTAGCTTGGTGACAGAGTGCTTGCCAGCATCCACAATTTAGCTCCTAACACTGTGTGCTCTAGCTGTGGTGACACAAGACAGATTCCAGCACTTGGGAGCTAGAGGCAGGAAGGTCAGGAATTTGAGGTCAGTCTGAGCTACAGGATGTAATGGTCTGTCCCGTACCTTTAAGAGACAAGCCCCGGGGCTGGAGAGATGGCTCAGTGGTTAAGAGCACTGTCTGCTCTTCCAGAGGTCCTGAGTTCAATTCCCAGCAACCACATGGTGGTTCACAACCATCTGTAATGAGATCTGGCACCCTCCTCTGGTGTGTGGGCATACATGGAGGCAGAATGTTGTATACATAATAAATAAATAAATCTTTAAAAAAAAAAAAGAGAGACAAGCCCCGCCCACTCCCCCTCCTCCGAGGCAAGGTGGTCTTCAGCTTCCAGCCTGAATCTCTTCCCTTTCCGTGTCTCTCTCTCTCTCTCTCTCTCTCTCTCTCTCTCTCTCTCTGAGGTATCTGCTGTCATAGCTCCTCCCTCCCTCCCTCCTTCCCTCTCTCTCTGCCTCTCTGCTCTTTCCCCTTCTCCTCTTTCCCTTCCATAGTCCACTAAATAAATATTCAACCTCACTTTGCATGGCGTGCTTATCCGGCTGGGAATTTCACCTGCCACACAGCTCTTTGTCTGGGCCTTGCTGCTCTTGATCTCTCATCTGCCACACTACTCCCTGCCTAGGACCCGCTGGCCCTCATGGCCTGTAGGCTGCTCGGGGGCTCCCACCTGGGACCTGGCTGCCTTTGTGGCCTGCAGTGGTCTTATGCCCGCTGCCCACTGCCGCCAGTCAGGGACCTGTGGGGACCTGTGGCGTTTTATTTAAACCATTACACATGAGACCCTGTCTCAAAAAACCGAAGAGATTGAAGAAAGAAATTGAGGACCTGATGTGGCGATGCATGCTTTTGATCTCAGCACTTAGGAGGCAGAAGCAGGTGGATGTCTGTGAGTTTCAAGTCAGCCTGGTCTATGTAGAATTCCAGTTAGCCAGACCTACATAGTGAGATTGTCTCTTAAAAAAGGGAAGATTTTAGCCAGGCGGTGGTGTTGTGCACCTTTAATCCCAGCACTCGGGAGGCAGAGGCAGGTGGATCTCTGTGAGTTCGAGACCAATCTGGTGTACAGGAGTTAGTTCCAGGACAGGCTCCAAAGCTACAGAGAGAAAGTCTGCCTTGGAAAAACAAAACAGAAAAAGAAAGAACCATCTTGTTGGTCGTGCCTGGTTAGAGCGTTTTTGAAGTAAAAACCTAGTGAAAACAGGTCTGCTGAAATGGTTGAGTTCTGGAGCCGGAGCCCTTGGTTTCACTTCTCTGCTCCGCCTCTTTCCAGTTGTGCAGCCTTGGGCAAGGAGCTACTTTTACCTCTGTACAGTGCTGATAGCGGCCACTTCATTAAGGTCATTGTGGAAATACCTGCTTGTGGAAGCATTGCAAATTGGTCCCAGCACAAAAGGGCAATGGGAATGTTGCCCTGACGTTAGTGGCGAGGACAGAAACCTCAGAGATTTGGGAGAGGAAAGGGTGACCTGAGGGGTGGGAATTGGATCCTAGACGATCAGGGTGAGCTAGGAGTGAGGTGTGGTTACACCTAGCAAGGTTGTCAGTAGAGGCGAGCAAATACAGAAAAGTTGCGGGAGCCAGGTGAGGTAGGGCACTGTGCTGTTCTTCTCTTTGGCTTTTTTTCCCCTTGTAATCAAATCCTTCACAGCTAATTTCAGTTCCTGAAGTCGTTGGCTGGGCAGGTAGGCTGAGCGGTGAGCAAAAGTGAGGTCCTAGGGAAAGGTCGTTGAGGCTGGTTAAATCTGTTTGGCTGCTGGCTCAGGCCTCTGTTGTCTCTTTTATTTCTTTACTAATTTGAGAGGAAGTTGGGGAAAATGGCAGGAGGGAGCAGTCTCTAGCTTTTGATGGTTTGTGTATTTAAATTTTTCTACTTTTTGCCCTTTTTTTCCTTTTTGATAGTGTTTTATATAGCCCAGGCTGGCCTCCCAGCCCATTCTGTAGCTAAGGATGACCTTGAACTTTGGCTCTTCCTGCCTCCCTCTTAGTGTTTAGATTAGAATTACTCTTCACAGGGGCTGGAGAGATGACTCAGGTTAGGAGCACTGGCTGCTCTTCCAGAGGTCCTGAGTTCAATTCCCAGCAACCACATGGTGGCTCTCAGCCATCTGTATGAGATTTGGTGCCCTCTTCTGGCATGTAGCCATACATGTGGGAAGAATACTGTATGCGTAATAAATAAATAAATAAATAAATAAATAATATGTCTTTAAAAAAATTGTTCATCACCATGCCTGGTTTTATTTGGTGCTAGGGATTGAGCCCAGGACTTATACATGCTAGGCAAGCGCTCTACCTACTGAGGTAGCTTCTCCCTCTTCTCTCCCTTCTTTTATCATCCTTCCCCTTTTCTTCATTTTTTCCTTTTTTGGGGGGGGTGAAGTAAGGGAGTGGGGAGGGATCTTGAACCCTTGATTCTCCTGTTTCTACTTCTCAAATGTTAGCATTTCAGGCATTTGTTATCATGCCTGACTTTATATTCTCTCTCTGTCTCTGTCTCTCTGTCTGTCTGTCTTGAGACAGGGTTTCATTATGTAACCGTAGCTGTCCTATCCTGGAACTTAATTTGTAGATCAGGCCGGCCTCAGACTCACAGAGATCTGCCTGCTTCTGTCTCCCAAGACTGGAACTAAGGGTGTGTGCCACCACACCCAGCTCTGACTTTTAAAAACTATATTTTTATTAATTTTTTTTCACACAGTATACTTTGATCATATCTCACAATGCTGCCTCTACCTGGTTTTCATTCGCTAGTTCTAGGATTTTAAAAGCCCCCCCCCCCCGAAGGCCTAGTCTTGTTGTGCAGTCTGGCTCACCTAGGACTTTCTAGGCCAGGCTCTCACTCACGAGCCTCTTGCTTTCGGCCCTCCTGCCTCAGCCTTCAGAGTACTCAGATTGCAGGCATGTGCTGCCGTGCCCACCCCTTTACCTTTTTGAGTGGTAGCAACAGGCTTGGGTAGTAGCCAAATAAGATTTTAGATCTAAATTATCCCATAGAGCTTTTCCAGACAGTAGCTGCACCAGCCATGTGTGCCTACCCAACACTTTGAGTGTTGCTATTGCAACATGAGGGCTGTGGGGTTTGTTCTTTATGAAACAGGGTCATCCTTTGCCTACTATAATCCAGGCTGGTCTCAGCCTGGTGGTCCTCTTAGATCAGCTCTTAAATTCTGGAATTATAGGTGTGTGCCCCTGTGCTCAGCTTGAAGGTTTATTGTTCTTTTAAAATAATTTTTATTCTTTGAAAATTTCATACCTGCATATAGTATATTTGATTATACCCTCTCTCCACCACTTCCAGTTCCCCTTAAGATTCTCATATCCCTCCCAACTTCATGTCCGCTTAAAATTGTTTATTTATCTGTCCTTTTTTTTGCTTCCAAGATGACATTTATCTATAGAACCCTGTCCTGGAACTCACTATGTGGACCATGTTGGCCTCACATTCACAGAAATCTGCCTACTTTTGCCTTCTGAGTGCTGGGATTAGAGACGTTCACTTGTCTATTTGCTTTTTAATCCACTGAGTTCAGCTAATGTTGCCATGCATGAATGGGCACAGACTCGTCGCAAGGGCATGGGGAAACTGCCAGTGGCTTAAAGAAAAATGAGTCTCCCTTCCCCTGAAGCTAGCAACTTAATAGCTCTTCATCTGGTAGTGGGGTCTTGAGAACCCCTCCCCAGAACTTGCTGGAACTTT